CTCCTGACCCTGAGAGCCCCGGGAGAGAGCAGTCAGGACTCCTGACCCTGAGAGCCCCGGGAGAGAGCAGTCAGGACTCCTGACCCTGAGAGCCCTGGGAGAGAGCTGCTCTACCAGAGCCAGGCCTTTTATAAACGCCTGGTGAGTGAGGCACGGTGCCTTCAGGGCAAAGACAGTCGGTTGACCAGGAGCAGAGTCATGTGTGAGTGGACACTCTTGTGACCAGGGGGGACCATGCTGGTGCCTCCCTGGAGGGTGGCGGGTCATGAGGCCACCCTGCCTTATGAAACTGCTGGGACAATAGTGTCATCCCAAGGCTAAAAGTCATTTGATTTCTTCTCGAAACATACAAAAATATATAACTTTAGTTGGAATAAAGACTAAATTGTGAAAAATAAAATTTATAAAACTTTTGGGTGATCAGTTAGTATCTTTACGATGTCTAAGAGTGATAGATTTCTTAAATAAAATACAGAAAGTGTTAAATGCAGAAAGTGTAAAGGAAAACATTGATGAAATCTATCACAACAAAACAAAACCAACATCAATTCCTCAAAGAACACAGAAGAAAATAGAAAGATAAGTGAGACAGTGGGAGGAGGCGTCTGCAACAATAATTGATAGAGACTAGTGTCCAGAATTTATAGAACTTAACTATCATTAACAGACAGCCCAGGGGCAAGAAGCTTGAAGACACACTTCACCAAGGGGAAGCCAAATGGTTTGTACATAAGCAGAGTAATCAGAGTGACAGGGAGAACAACAGTGAACACAGACACACACCCACCAGAGTGCCGCCAGGGGCTGACGTGGGGTGTGTTGGCAGGAGTATAAATTGCAAAACTCTTTTGGAATATGGGTTGGCATTGTCTAGTGAACTCCTGCCAGCCGGCAGTTCCACACACAGGTGTGTGCCCTGGAAACTAAGGCAGTGCTCCAGGGGGCCAGAGCACTCAGGGCCCGGGATGAGAGATGAGGTGGTACACGGGCAGACAGGTATAGGAAGTGAAGTGGTGCACTGGGGGACAGGTACAGGACATGAAGTGGTGAACCAGGGGACAGGTGCAGGACGTGAAGTGGTGAACCAGGGGACAGGCGCAGGAAGTGAAGTGGTGAAGCAGGGGACAGGCGCAGGACGTGAAGTGGTGCACTGGGGGACAGGTACAGGACGTGAAGTGGTGAACCAGGGGACAGGCGCAGGACGTGAAGTGGTGAACCAGGGGACAGGCGCAGGAC